GGATGTCTGCCCTTTGACGAACATGAGCACAGCACTTGCATTCATAACGAGTAGATCTCGTTAGGAATAGTTGGCCATCACATGTCACTTGCGATGTATCTTTTTATCGGACGTATCCCTCTATTATGTGAATAGGCCTCAGGATGCCAGTGAATTCCACTTAACCCTGCCGCCCAGAAGAGCTTCTCATTCTGGCTAGGCTGGAATTCAGGCACCTTGAGGCAGAACCAACAAGAATCAAACCCAACTACTGTAGCCGGCCGGGTCTCTCTCATAGTTAATCATCATTGTGGGATTGTCGATGAGGCGAGAATGTATTTGCCAGTACAGCCGATAGCATTTTTTGCAGTCTTAGTGATTAAACTTTCAAGGCTATGAAGAACTTGACTAAGAATGCCCATTTGTCTGCTCGACAATTCTATCTTAAGTTTGATCTGGGAGAGGTACAGTAAGTTTTTAGCAAGGCCGATGTAGGCAACTTGAAGAGTGTGCAAGGAGGCCGGAGTGGCAGAGGGGGAATGACAATCCTCAGAAAGTTGCAAAAGGATACGAATCCGACTTACTCGGTCTGGTTGACCCTGCCAGGGGGTACATAGACCAAACTGGCTGGGCATGGTCTGTTGCCGGGACTCATTCGACATTCGAGGGAGTAGACGACGTCCCGTCGACCGCCATAGTCCATTGGGGATTCCCATATCAGCCGGACTCGAGCTGTGTCGGACAGATCAATTGTCAAATGCTGCGGAGACGACGGAGGGGCTGGAAAAGAGATGCGAGAAGAGGGCGAGGAATGGATGGTTGAGGAGAAAATTGGAAAGAAAAGCACTTAGAGGCATGCTTTCCGAGCCTCAGTTGTGTAAAGATTGTCTTAACGCGAAAAAATCCTATTACTGCAAGCAGTTTATTTAGCATCTTTAATTTGACAGTTGTAGATTACAACCACGCCAAGAAGAAGTTCCGAGTGCCACATTGTCATAACATTGTGCATCGAAATCACTTTGTTCATTTGACCTTTTCAGGAACTGGAGTTTTGTGCCAATCGTGAGAAATTGGGAATATTTCCTTTCGTTGTCAAAAGACTTTTTCGCCTCGGTCAGAGCTAAATAACACTCTTCTTCATGTTCGTCTAGAGTGGCAATTTGGCCTAAACATCCCAGACCTATTCGAACATGCAAAGACAAACGCATTAAACACTCAGCCACCAAATAAAAATCACAAGTTATCCACGCACATGCATTTTGTCACTTTAGCAAATGTGCAGAAAGTGCAAGTTCATTTGGAGCCAAAAACGAAGGTAAGAATGGACAATTCTTGTCTACCTATCTTCATTCCTAGTATTTGTAATGCTCTATAATTTATTGATTTATTCAGTTTA